TAAGTGTCAGTAGTCCTCAATTAAGTTTACAAACAATCACTAGTCACAAAATAATCAACAATCATTTTTTAACCCACTTTTATAAAACCCAAATACCAAATTCACATCATCAAATCATATGCTTTTCCAACAACAAGGCAACACTCCAGGTATAATATAAAGGATTATGAATAAGTATAGATAAAATTACTATTTACATCAATAAGGCCACTAACATTTTTAACCAATAGCTCTAAGCATGACTAAAGAAGCTGGCTATCAACACACAACTAAAACTAAAGAGAAAACCTTTAAATAGACTCATATATATATATATATATATATATATATATATATATATATATATATATATATACAACTTTATAATAGATAAATTTATAATACAAGTACTAAGACCTCAACCATTAAAAACTAAATTGGACATTATAATCCTTAGTTACCAAAACCAAGTTAAGATTAGGGAGACCTTATTACTCTCATATAGTCTAACTAAATCTAACATGCAATCTGTCACTAAATATAATATTCAAAAGAAAGATATAAAGGTCACCTTTCTAGAAAAGTGTAATAACCACTTTTTTATTTCAAATCTATTAATGTCTAAGTTAACTGAAGTCAACTCCAACCTTTTCATTAGTTTGTAATACAAAAATATAATGGTTTTAGGGTAAAATAATTAATAGATCAACCACTAAAAAAGTCTAAGAAAATTTATAGGAAAATTTTCATTCTAAAGAAAGAATGACTCTTAGTTTATGAATGCAAATTCTCAAGACTCAACTAACTTCTTTTTACTAATAACTTCATATATATTCACCTTAACACAAATTTTAATTATGTAACAACATGCTTAAGCGTCCAACAATATATCTATATATTTTATATTTGACATTAAATCTGCAAATGCTAATGAATACTAGTATATAAAATGGAGTTAAATATAGATTTGTACTATTTCAATATACAAGTGGTTTAACACAAGGATATGGCTATTCCACCAATTCTTAGGACATAGAATAAAACAGACACATCTAGTAAGGAGCTAGACAAAATCTTAGGTTAGTCAATCATGCTTAACCTATCCACTATCCTTACTATATATTGAGAATCCCCTATAGTTTTTAAGACAAGTTTGAAAATTTACTAAATATAGAATTGTTTCCACATCCAGATTTACAATCTATCATATTTAGGGCAATCTTTACATTTTGTAGATATGCCTCACTAGTAAATCTAGACATTTTCATAAATAGCCAATAAAATTAAAATTTAACTAACATAAAGGGTATGATAGTGAAAGTGTTTTGGCGGATATAATAAGCTAGCACGTAGTGATATTAAGGGATTAATGCTCAATACACAAAGGTTTTTATCACTAGCCAATGCAAGATACAATAAGATGGGAAATCCTTACAGAGTTAAGTATGTTTAACTAATAATATGTAGAAATTTTGTCCTTATGCTCATTTAGTTTAAGTACACTTGAAATACTCAATTAATTCCACTAACACAAGAGGGATTGATCAAGGTCTAATAATATTGATCTCTTACTATTGTGGTAGTATAAGAAAAACATCCAAAAAGACTTGCCAACATGTAACTTTTGATACCCATAATTATATTTGTGATAAATATATATCCATGACTAATATAATAAATAAATACTTATAATGCATACCTTGCAAATCAATTGCCTTGAAACAAATTTGCTCCCACACACGTCATAAACAAAATCTTGCTGCTTGGCTTGGCCGAGCTCCTACATGTTCAAAGTGTAAATGGTCTCAACATAGCAAACCAATGTTGAATAAAAGGTGCTTCAATAACTCCCTTGTAGTGTTTGGCTGCTCCCTTGCACAATGTGCTATCGGCCTCTCACTCAGCCATGACCAAACCCAGGACTATATCAAGGAAAAAAAGGATGGACCTTACCAATAAAGAACAAAGGGATTCACCTTTAAGAGCTCTTGCTATTGTGCTACTACAGTTTGAAGCAGAAAAAATGAGCAATTGAACAGAAAAACCCACTGTTCACCCATCATTATTGCCCAGCTTGCCAATACTTATCACTATTGCATGTCATTGCTCTACTACTTCTCACCCACCCTCTCTTATCGTCACCCACTAGCATTGCAAGTTGCAGCCCAGCCATCATCAACCCTCTACCCCTAGTATTGCTGCCATGACCCCATTCCACATAGATGCTCGTGAATAAAAGCCCTTCCAGTTCACTCAAAGCAATGCCATGTGGCTTTGGTTGTTTTCAGTTGTCTTTGGTTGACACAAGGTTGTTTTCAATTGTCTTTTGTTGTTACAAGGTTGTCTTCAATTGTCTTTTGTTGTTACAAGGTTGTCTTCAATTGTCTTTTGTTGTTACAAGGTTGTCTTATCCTCCATTATAGATTGCTTTATGAATTACATACCATACTTCTATTTGGTAGATTTGATGTAGTAGGAGCTTTTTGTGATAAAATGTACTAATTTTACAAATTCCCTAAGAGGTATCCATTTGCAGTTCTGGTAGTTGATCTCTGCTATTTACGAAAAATGGAGTGAGTAAGAAACATAGCATGGAACAGTCTGCATTGACTAAAAAAATGTCTATCTCTATATATCTGCAAAGGTATATTTCAGATTGGTAAGCTTATCATCTTAAAAGCTAATGTATTTTCATTCACTTCTCATTTATTCAAATAAAATGCTTCAAAAAATTCACATAATATAGCAAAATTTTAAAGAACCATCCTCATTTGTGACAAAATTATCCAAAGGAAATACTGCAGAAGTATCCTGGTTTGTCCTATTTTTACAAACTCCAAAGAGCGTCCCTTTGGAATCCACCAAGAATTGATTGCATGTTTTCCAGAAATTTCTGCCAAGAACAAGCTTGCCATTATCATTCCCTAGCTTACTATCCAAAGGCAAATTACTGTAGAACCACTTTGATGGAGCACAAAATGACCATAGAACACCAGCAAAATTGACTGAAGAATTACTACATGTTTGAGAATACCCACCACAAGCCTAAAAATAAAAACAAAGAAAAGAAAACTAGAGTAAGGAAGGGAGAAAAAATATAGCCTTAATCCAATAACATATATACCTCAAGTGATGTTGACAAAGCGAAAACCAAAATTATCACCTTCTGCATTCTAGCTAATGCTTTTGCATTCATGGCCAAACAAATCATTACTAAATGGTAAACTCAGAGGGCTTTAGCACTGACACATCTCAAGTGCTACATAAAAAGTTAAAATTGTTGATTAATTTAAAATTAACAGGTAGATTAAATGGCCATCTTTCGGTTGTCCTGTAATGCAACTAGAAAATTTAAAAACATCGAAAAGACAAACTTGCATTGTTACCTTGTTTCCTGGAATTTTTTCAAGGGTTATAAGACGTGTTTCCGAATCAAATTTTAGGAGAGCCTTACACCTGTACGAACCTTGTTAACAGTAGCGAACAACCTCTTCAAAGCACTCACTGTTCACATTTTACATCATTGGTTGAGCCACCACTCGCAACACCTAGTATTGTTCCGAAGTAGGAGTTTGTTTCACTTCCACAATTTGCACAAGGACCCTGTGATGGAAAACATTATCTCTATAATGAAAATCATAAGTTACAGACCTTCAATATAAGAGCGTCCTTGAAAACCAGGTTGGTGATAAATCTTGCAGCAAAAAATGTAGCCGGTAGCACCACAGACCAGGTAAAAATAAAGCCATATGGTTCTGGCAACTATACAAAGAGAGCGTGATAGATGAGAGGAAGTAAGAGAATTAACAGCATCAACTTCACCTCAAGAAGATATGTTATCTCAAATCCCGTTAAGTCATCTAAAAAGAACACACTACACAAAAACAAGTTTGAGCAGAAGAAAGTAATTCAAGCTTACACAAGGAGGGAGATAAGGACTGCTGGTAAGTTCAGGAGTGTCATCTTCAAATAGTCTACAGTACAATCGCTATAGACCTGTCAAAGAAAATAGATAAAACATTGCAGCGATGGACCGAATCTTTGCATTACCTTTTTACTTCTTAAACTACACCTTGGACCTTCGATTGCCACTTTGCTATTTGATTTCTGCCAGCAATTGCTCTCAGTTCAAAGCTCAAAACTAGACAGACGTACCTTAAGCTTTAGTTTGAGTCGATCATACTCTTCATCGGACATGAGACGCTTTCCCGCTGCATATGCTAACGATGCTTCCATAAATCTCTGCTCGTCAGGACCTGAAATAAAAAACTCCTAGATTTTTTTCGGCTGCGAACGTTCCAGTATGGATTTACTTACTCAGAATCACCACGTTACTGCCTTCCCAAAGCAGCTCTTCCTTTAGATTGTCGAACTCTTCGTTGGTCATCATAGGTTCCTTGTCGTAGTAAAACGACTGCAACCAAAAGTGTTACACGCGCATTCATCGCAACTTAAAACCACCTGAAGCGCCTGTAAAAATTCCTGCTCGAGCTCTCCAACCGATTTCTTATCCTTCTTCTTGTCAATGCTACAGTACGGCAGAATCTTGTTGTCACTCAGCTCCTCTTGATCAACAGCTGCTAGAAATGACAAGTTAGCGAGGCGTGGTACAAAAATTCTAGATTTACTTTGATTCTCAGACGCGTTCATAACAATTCTCGCATTCCTTGAGCGGGATTGGCCATTTCTAAGGTGAGAGTGCGCTACAAACGAGCTTGCCTGCGTCGATCGATGTAGCAATGCGGCCCTTTGGAGAGTGGAAGAAGAAGCTCCAATCTTGAGACACAGAGCCATTCCCACGAGCCCTAGAAGTCAAACACACTGGCTACCACAGGAAGCAGCATCAAAATCTTGAGCAACACCATCCAGGCCGTCCGAAACGTCAACGGCTTGGATAGAAGATCTTTAAGTATTTGCCTTACCAATCGAGCCGTCCAGTGCCCAACGGCAGGGATGAGAAGAAATAGTATATTCTATAGCTGGACCAACGCGGATCCAGCGCACACGAGCTTGCGCGAGCGAAGATTATTTCAAAACCCTAGCTCGCTCCGCACGGATGCGACGGCGAAGGCGGCGGCGCCAGGGGTCGGAGTCACGATCTCGCATTGCTCTCCAATGCGAATGCCGCGGGGTATGTCCAGGGATTGAGCGGTATGTCTCGGTGTCTCGGCAGCATAAGCTCGATTCGTCGTTGCTAGCCTAGCGTAGCAAGGATTTTCCAGGAGAATCGAGGCAGCAATGCTTCGCTTAGAAATTTAGTCGCATTCGGGGCCGGACCACCGAGCAGAGATTTGGACGGAAACAATGTCAGGGCGGCATTTTTCTGAGAAGCTGACGAGCGTAGCTCAGTCTGCTCGCCAGGTGAAGTTCGAGCACGACAGCTTCTCGCAACTGGCTGGGTATTTGGAAAAGCTGGTTCCAATTGCCCTCGAGCTACAGCAAGGGAGCAAGCATGACGACTTGGTCCAGGTGCTCGAAAAGGATCTGGAGTCCGCCACTGATCTCATCAGCCTGTGTAACAACAAGAGCCAGATGTACTTGCTCACGCACTGTAGAAGCGTGGTAAGGCAGCTAGAAAGTGTCACTCACGACATGGGGAAAAGCCTGGAGCTTGTTCCTGTGGCCTCATTGCCTGGGACGGACGAGACAAAGAAGATGGTCGGGAACCTTTCGCAGGAGATGCAGCGGATACGGTTCCAGGTGAAGGAGTCCGAGGACCGGATTTGCCGTGCTCTAGAAAGGGAGACGAGCAGCATTCGAAGTGATCTCGCCCTCCAAAACAGCTTGCTGGTGGACATTGCGCGGACTGTTGGTGTGGAGGACTTTTCGAATAACCCGCACGCACTCAAGAACCACATTGATCTGTTGAAGAAGGACATCCAGGGGCCGGACGACCTTCACATGTCCAACTTGATCGCTGTCATGTTTGATAACGTTGTCAAGAGACATCATGGACGCAGCAGCGGTAACTACCACGAGTCTCGGCAGCGGCGACGTTACGAGGATCCTTACGAGGCGTTTCTCTGCCCGTTGACTGGGAGAGTGATGTCGGATCCAGTGACGATTGTCGAGACGGGGAAAACATACGAGCGGAAGGCCATCGAGGCCTTTTTCGCGAACTGCCAAGACAACAAGAAGCCTGCCATCTGCCCTCAGACATCAAAGAAGCTGCAAAGTCTGGACTTGAAGGCCAGCATCGCGATAAGAAACGCGATTGAGGAATGGCATGCCAGGAATGAGTCAACTCGTATTGAAAATGCTGTTCCAATGCTGGACGCAGGAAGTCCAGAAGCGGATATGATTGAGGCTATGGAGGACATACAGGAGCTTTGTCGTCGCAATCGGCACATCAAGGCGAAAGTTAGAAATGAAGGACTGATACCGATTCTCGTGGATCGTCTCAAGAATGGGGAGGAAGTTCGATGCAAGGCACTCCAGACTCTAAGAGTTCTTGCCGAGGATGATGATGATATCAAGGTAAAGCTCTTCTACACAAGTGAGAATATACTAATATTTTGGAGTGGCGACAGGAAGCGATTGGGCAAACAACTGCTGTCTGGAGTGCTGTCAAATGCTTGTCTCGCGAGTTATCACGTGAACGAGAAGAAGCCGTGTCATTGCTGCTGGAACTCTCAAAGTCATACACGCTATGCGAGAAAATTGGAGCTTCTAGTGGAGCAATACTGATACTCGTCGGAATGACAAGCAGCAAGTCCGAAAATGTGCTGTCAGCCCAAAGAGCGGACGACACACTTAACAACCTTGAAATGTGCGATGCGAACGTACGGCAAATGGCGGAGAATGGACGACTTAAGCCCTTGATTACACGTCTCTTAGAGGGTAAGCTCCCGGTTTGAGAAGTCTTCTCTAATTTTCCGTTGAATGTCTTCACAGGTCCGGATGAACTGAGAGTACAAATGGCTAGTTATATCGCGGACATAGCACTTAACAGCGAGGGAAAGGAGAGGCTTGCTGAGTCGGGAAGCAACGTTTTGATAGAGATGCTAGAGAGTAACAAGGCTGGCTATCGAGAGGTATCGTTGAAAGCTTTGCGAGCGCTTTCAACTCTTGACAGCAACGGTTGTTTGTTGATTAAAGCCGGCATACTGCCACCGTTGCTGAGGGACCTCTTCATGTCGGGAATAAGTCAGGTTCCAAAGTTGAAAGAGGTCGCCGCCACGGTACTGGCCAACGTAGTAAACTCATGCACAGATTGGGAGGATGTGGCAGTAGACAACGAGGGCAACACGTTAACATCAGAGCAGTACGTTCACAACTTGCTACTTCTCATCAGCAACACGGGTCCAGCAATAGGAGCAAAGCTTCTTCAAGTTCTTCTCGGGTTGGCCTCTTCGCCCCGCGGTGTCTCGGACGTCGTCTCCCACATCAAGAGTGCCGGTGCTCTGGTAACTCTCATCCAGTTCCTGGAAGCGCAGCAGAAAGAGCTACTCGTTACGTCGGTCAGGCTGCTGTACTGCCTCTCTCCATACATGGGACAGGATCTAGCGGACGGTTTACGAATAACAACTCGGCAGCTGGGGACGCTCGTCAAGTTACTGGGACAGAGCGGAGTGAACGTGGAAATGGCAGCGGCCGCGGGGCTTTTAGCAAACCTCCCAGTCACGGACTACAATCTTACTCGGGCACTCATGGAGGAAGGAGTCGTCTCCATTCTCCTCAGCCGGATCAACGATCTCAAGCGCGGGGTGGTGAGAATCGGAGCCGGGAAGTACGTGGGACCGTTCCAGTCGGGTCTCGTCACCATTCTGGCGAGGTTCACGTACGACTTGGACGACCCCGACATGCTCAACATTGCCACGGACAACAACCTGTGCGCGCTGTTCACGTCCTTGCTCCAGACGGTCTCCCTGGACGAAGTCCAGCGCTGGTCGGCCATAGCTCTCGAGAACATGTCCATGAAGTCGAAGCACTTCTCGGAGGTTCCGGAGCCTCCGGCTCAAGCAGGCGGGTGGTGGACCTGCTTCAAGAAGCCTAGCAGGCAACCGGCGGCGGGGCTCTGTCCAGTCCACTCGGGCCGGTGCTCCGCCAAAAGCACGTTTTGCTTGGTCGAGGCCGGGGCCGTGGATCCTCTGGTGGCGTGCCTGGAGCACAGGGACACGGACATCGTGGAGGCGACGCTCCAGGCGCTGTCGACGCTCATCCAGGAGCCTTGCGACGTCGAGCGAGGCGTCCAGGTGCTGAGCAATGCGGGGGCCATCCCGCCGGTGATGGCCATCCTCCAGGAGCACCGGACCGAGGGGCTGAGGGAGCGATCGGTGTGGATCCTGGAGAGAGTTCTCCGCAGCGCGGAGGCGGCGCAGACCATCGCTGGGAGCGGCGACGTGCACAGCTCGCTGGTGGACGCGTTCCGCCATGGCAACTACAGGTCGAGGCAGCTGGCGGAGAAGTCTCTCAAGCACCTCAACAGGATTCCAAACTTCTCGGGGGTGTTCCAACCGGTTGGGAGGCGATGATCGACGTTGATGTGTACCATAGCGTTGGATGGCATGGGAGAAGAATTTTTAAAGAAAAAAAGAGCCATACTGTGAGTAAACTTTGAATTTTGTTTTCATTTTTTCTTTCTTTTTACATTGGATTTTTCTTTCGAAGTATAAAGGGTCTGCTTGTAAAAGAGAATTGATCTTCTTGGTGGCAGAAAATAGAAACTACAGTGACGAATCTAGATTCTAGAAACAGTCTCATTTGTAGTTGTTAAATTGGAATTCAAATAAAATCCATAGTTCCAAATTTGCCAACATTTTTGGATTGGCAGCTCGAGCAAAGTCGTGCCGAGCAAGAGAAAATCTAGATCAAGTCGAGACAAACACAATCAAATCGCTTTGGACACTTGCCACTTGGTCTCCCGCAAATGGCTTCCTGCGAAGAGAGGACGAAGCAACACAAAAAAAAAAAAAAAAAAAAGAAAGAAAGAAAAAAAGAGAAAGAGAAAGAAAGAGAAAGGCCTGAAACTTTGCTCTTTGCGTTCTAAAGTCGCTTGTCTCTGGGTGCTGTGGAATATTTGCCAAAGCCGTCTTTGAAAATGCCAAAGATGGGGGCTTATTCACAAGCCCACCACCCCAAGTGCCAAATCAAACCCTCCCAAAAACCTCAAATTTTTTTTCTGGGGACACACAACAAAGTCCCACCTTGTCACTGTTTGATCTTTAGGCTATTGTTTGTACGTTGAGTCGCGTGGTTTCTTTCGAGTAAATTACCCCCTAATGGCGCATATATGCTTTGACATGAAGCAAGGCACTGGTGGAATCTTCATGGCATTTTTCCTTTCCCTCCCACAAAATGATTGATTTCACCAAGGAAGAAGATTCCCTCCCCACTGAAAAGCATATCCGCGCCACGTCAATGTGGCAAAAAACCACGTCCACGTCATCATCCGGTAGTTTTCTCAAAAAAAGCTTTCAAACACATCGCAGTCGCGGACCTGTTGTTGCGCGAGGAATGTTTCCAGTGACGGAATTTTCGTCTTCCTTGCATAGTTTTTTCCATGACCAGCTATTGCCTAGCAACGAGACACGCGTGTCCTTGTTGGATCGATATCGATCATCGCTCTTTGTATCAATCGATCGATTGATCCAATCGACCGGAAATTCCTTGTTCTCCAGTCTCGAGAGGGGATTCTCCTCTCGACTCGATTAAATTTGTTCTTCTCGCTGGTTGCGCTCGACACCGCCGTCGATTCCCAGGGTGGCGCTTGTCGTAACCACCGTTGATTTGCGGCGCTGGTTTCATGATCCATACGGAGATCGTCTTATCATCGACGTAGCCGCTGCCACAAGAAATGATCCAAGTACACTGCCACCGACGGAATATTCGCGCGCCGCTTGCGGCATGGCGTTTTAGGTTAAAAAAGAATTTTCTTTGGTCGCGCTTTGCTCTCCAAGAAAATGCGGGGCAAGATTTGACGACGCCGGATCGATCGACCAGCTGGGGATCGCCAAGACTCGGCCGGGGAAGGGATAAAGATTTGGATCGATGGATTGAGCATCGATCGATCGATATTCTCGCTTTGGAACGATTTCCATTCTCTCATCTCTCGCTCCCTCTCGCTCCCCAGGTTGCTTTTCTACGCATTTGCTCCCAGATTCCTTGGACTTGATCGGCAGATTCCTTGCTTGTGTCGAGAGATCGCGCCAGGGCTTTTGCTCCCTCCTTTCTTCTTTCTCTCTGGAGAGGGAGCTTCTTTTCTTGCCTTGGAGCTCTGAAAAAGAGGAAATGGGGTTTTTCCTTCGCGATGCCGCCAGCAGCGGCATCTACACATTTTTGTGAGGATAAACATCGCTTCTACACGCAATAGGCGGCATCTCTCATCTCTCCAGCGAGCATTCCTCTCCTTTTCTCTTTTCTGGCAGTCACATCTCTATATGTATTGGCTCCCTCCTCGACGCCAAGGACACTGCCACCAGCGATCGTCTTCTCCTCCTCGGCAAGCGATCCATTCCAGATCTCTCGCTGATTGCCCGCTGCACAAATGGAAATGCCCATCAGGCTCCTCGCCCCGGCCGAGCCCGATCTGTCGCTGCGCATCAGCACGCCTCCAGCGATCCGGGGAGGAGGATCGCACCACGACGGCACGTCGGCGTTTGAGATCTGGAAGAAATCCGGGGCCAGCAGCAGCAGCAGCGACTGCTCCAGCAGCAACTATTCCCCGCGAGGCGAGCACCACCACCCCGAGGCCGTGGAGGCGTCCACGGAATTGAGCCTGGGGAGGAGCTTCTTCTATCGCGCGCACAGCGGCGAGATCGACCACCACCACCACCACCATGCCTCAATGCATGCGGCCAGGAGCGACCGCAATTCCTCCATCGATGGGCTCTTCCGGATTGGAATGAGATCATCCAGCCCGGATGGCGATCACTATCCCCGCCAAGGCATCGACTTCCTCTCCCGCGCGCCGGCGTATGGCCTCCGGTTTGCTCCAGTCACGGAGATCACCCAGGAGCATCACGATCCAGCTCCGGCGGTGGGGAATTCGAATTCCCACAGTGGTCATTGCCAGGAGCAGCAGAAGAAGATCGAGAAGATGGGCGGGAGTGAGAATTCGCAGCGGGAGTCGATCGTCGTCAGTGCTCCATCGCAGCAGCGCTCGCGGATCATCTCCAAATTGCCCGTGAAGCGCAGTGCACGTGCACAGAGGATGCGTTGGACCAGCAATCTCCATGCCCACTTCGTGAAGGCGGTTGAAAGGCTTGGAGGCCACGAAAGTACGTCTCCTCTCCACGCCCCTCTCATGCTTTGTACCGCCCACCCCTCCTCTCGCGTTCCTTTCCTCTCTACACTGTGTGTGTCATGGACGAATTTCTTCCTTGCTTCTCGAGTGTTATATAGTAGCCGCGGTACCTCGCATGTATTACCTCCATAGCTGGTCCTCTCTCGCTCTCTCTCCGGTCACGTCATTCATTCTTCCTTCGTTTCGTTACTTATGGTTCTTTCCTTTGCGCAGGAGCTACGCCCAAGACGGTCCTGGAATTGATGAACGTCAAGGAGCTCACGCTGGCTCACGTAAAAAGCCATCTCCAGGTACTTTGCAAATTCATAGTCTCGGAAGGATGGCAGGACAGTGGAGTTTTTTCCTCTGGTGTTTTGTTTTCTTCTTCTTCTTATTCTTCCTCTTGAATTTTGGCTGAGAGATCTTCTTTGGTTGAATTTTGAATGGCAGATGTATAGGACGGTGAAGACAACGGACAAGGCTACGTTGACAGGTGAGCTGCAAGGAATTGTGCATTATTTTCTCTCGGGATTTATGTATGCTCATGGAAGTCCGCCCGCCCTCTCTCTTGCAGAGAAAAACATGGAGGAGATGGCAGAGGAGGCGCAGTCTCCAAATTCCAGCTCCAGCGGACGCGACGACTGGAGCAACACGAGGTAATGATGGCTGCATTCTATATAGTTTAGGTTTGATTCATTCCTTGCAAGGCAGATGCAACACTAATGTCAGGCTAGTAGGACAGCTCGAGGTAAAATCGACTTCACTTGTAATGCCATGTAGAGCTTTTCTTCTTACAACTCCAGTGCAGGCAGGCGAGCTTGGCAAGCACGATGAACTTAGCAGTCTTGGCAATCTCGTCCCCAAAAGAGCTACTGTTGCTGCAGTGCAATGGCTAGGAAGCTAAGCACCAAGATTATTTTTTCTCCCTACTTTTTTCTCTGTTGTACGTTCGTTCTCTCGTTCCGGGAGACGGTGCTTAGCTTTTACCTTCATTTGGAGCTGGGGGTCGTCAGATCAGTCAGCTCAGTGAAGGTCCAAGCTAAACACTCGCAGAAAGTCTACCATGTGTTAACTAATAAACCTACTTTAGCTTTTTAACGTATTTAAAATGATGGTTCAATAAAGAATTACTAATAAATATAAGAATTATAATCTTCAAATATCTTGTAGAAAATCTACAATATCAGCTTTCAAGCCAGCTTGGCTTAAATAAATAATTTGCTATGTGTTGCATGTAGCAATATTTGGTTTGCTTAATAATAGTGTTATTCCTAGTTATTAATTCAATTGATAAAAAAAATTATAATTAAAAACATGTTTATAATTTATAAACACAAGATTAATCTTATTGCATATCGACCATTAGATGGTAGAATAAAAAATAATATACTAGAAAGTATTTAAGTAAATTTATAAATTATAAACACAAGATTAATCTATATGAATAACAACCATTAGATAGTAGAATATCCTAGAATATCTAAACATATTCTAGGTAAGAAACTAAAAATACACATTATCACGATTGACTAGTGAGTCTAATTTTGTTAAATTTTAGGCAGTTATATAATAATATTAATTTCATATAACACTCTTACAAATACTATAATTACTCTATAATTAAATGGTCCTAGAGTTTTTTAGATGATTAGCCATTTTCTAATTTTCCATCATATTTTTAAAAACTATGAAGTTAATTTTTCTAACACCAATTCAACTCCTAGAAAATAGATGTGTAAGACTTTGATAATCTTTATAACTATGTAAATGAGTTTCAAACTCTTATTTTAAAGAGAGCATATAAATTGAAATATACTATATTATTAATTACATATTAAACTCATAAATATCACAAAACTATGAAATTCCTAGAATATTTACTTCAAATAATAAGTAAAAATTATAAATAAATAAAATCAAAAGCTAATATATAAGTATTACAATATAAAATAAATTTTTTTTAGTTGTGAAATTAAACTTATGTGTAACCTTCCATTTAATTATAATTTATAACAATTATTAGTAATATAATTTTTATACAGTGCACAATCACTACTTCAATAAAAATCAGATTAAAACTCTTCATTATAAGATAATATAAATTATTATACAGTATTTCAAAATCCAATATTTTTATTTTCAGATTTATAAAGAAAAATATTTTATAAAAATTTAATAAATCATAGTTTTATAAGAAAAAATATTTTAATGGTATAATAGAAAAATATCTAAAAGACTTTACATTACTAAAAGATAAATACTTATTTTGTTGTATTATATCAAACATAAAATATGTACATCTTGGTGTTGCTTGATACTTAAATATATAAAGTTCTATCTTGCAAAAATTTCTTCACTAAATGCCACACATTTGCCAGATTATCTTCTGATTCCCATATTGC